TTGGCACTGGCCGGCCGGGGCCGGAGGAGCGGGTTGGCCTTTCGGACGGTCACCAAGTGCCTGGGGACGGGGACGCAAACACCAAGTCAGGCAGTGGCCTCTAGTGGAAACGCGGTGTGGTGGCGCGATCCCCGTCCAGCTACTCACGGCCTGGGGACAATTGTCACAGGTCTGTCGCAGGAGATGCACTTCACCCGCTCAAAGAGCTGCCTGCAACACAGGGGCGGCCGCTCAGGACGCGCTGGCAGCACCTCCTCCCCTGCCAGCACGTCAGGGACCTCATGAGGGCCCATGGGTGGCCCACAACCCTTGTGCAAGGTGGGACAGACAGGGTTTGGGAAGAAGCAACCTCCACCAGGAGACCTCCCCCCTGCTCCCCGTGGAGGTGGAGGCTGAGGGCCGCCATCGCCTGCCTTGACCCTAGAGCGAGGTGCCTGGGCATATGGGACGCCCTGCCTGGAAAGTGCCAGGTGTCGGGCCTGGAGGGGCTCCATGCCCAGCCACAGCCAGGAGCCAGCCAGCCCCTCCACATCCCTGTGAGCAGGGTGGCACGGCCCTCTGGACAAATGTGGAGCGCAGGGCAGGACCGGACAGGATGGGACAGGGTGGGATGGATGGGATGGGATGGAACGAGACAGGAAAGGATGGGACAGGACTGGACAGGACAGAACGGGACGGGATCCAGCATCTCTCACCTCTTAAAGCCGGCAGCACTGTTGGCGTTGAAGGGGGGGCACTGGCGCAGGTACCTCTTGGTGAACTTCCATACCTGCTCCAGCTGCACCCGCAGGGGGTCCAACACCATGTGGTCCAGCTGAGGGAGGAGGAAAAGGGGAGACTAGTGGGCTCTGCCCAGCCCAACACTGTCTCCAAGGCAAGCCAGGGCCACTTCTGCCCTGCAGCCCCCGAGGGGGCCCTGCAGGCTCCCTAATCCCTGACAGGACACTGGGGGACATGTGCCCAGTCCCAACATACGTAGCCTTTGTCTCTTGGTACCAGCAGACTCAGGGGTCACCCTCCCCACTCAGCAAGCACGAGGTGGGACCAGTCCCTGATCTGGCCTGGAGCAGGGAGCCTTGATATTGCCCCCATCTCTCTGTCCCCGCCACCCTTCCTGGGCAGTGAGGCTACCTTGGAGTCCATGTCGCTGACGAGCTTCTCCAGGGCTTTCTGCCAGTCCTGGTCCTGCAGGGACATCTTCTGTAACAGGTCGTGCATCATCTCGCTCAGCTGGGCTATGGCGCTTTGCAGCTCCTCCTGGCTCACTTTGGTCTCCAGCTCAGCCTTGTCTGCTTTCTAAGGGAGGCATGGTGCCAGGGCTGTTCCTGCAGCCCCCTGTCCCTGCCTCTGCCACGCACAGAGCTGCCACCAAGCCCAGGCTGGGCCAGGGAGCTCTGCTACCCATCAGCCTCCAGCCCCAGGGTCGGGCACGCAGCAGGCAGGGGTTGTCACTGCACGTGCTGGGACAGTCCCCACGTCCCCATGCTCTGGCGAAAGGCAGGGTGCCCAGGAGCCAGGGGCAGATCTTGAGGTGGCTTTTGCAGCTCGGGGAAGGGCCAGTGAGGAGACGCCCTTAGCTCCCATCTCCACAGGGACGAGGTACCAAAGAGCCGCGGGGCTCAAGGGGTAAACAGCACCGCTGCCATCTCAGACACGCGGTGCAGATGCCCCAGGGCTCTCTGGGGTGTTTCTACTCACAATGTCCATGCCCTGCTCCAGCAGGGCCTTGTCTGCTTTGCTCACATCCAGATGCTCCACCATCTCGCGCAGGCTCTGCTCGTGGGCCACGCATCGATCAGTGAGTGCCAACCGCACACCCCACTGCTGCCTGGGACACTGCAGTCCACAACCCTCCCTCTGAGCCCGCTGGCTCATGCCGCTCCGGCCCCTGCTCCACTAGGATGGCCCAGTGGCAAAATCGCCGTGTGCTGAGTGTCCCGGTATTGTCCGGAGCCCTCGGCCTGGCAGGGGATGCACCATGGCTGGGGGAAGCTCTCCCGTCCCACAGAGGTGACCGTGTTTCCAGCCCAGTTTGGACGCTAACCCCGGCAGGAGCTGCTCCTCGAGCCTTGCTAAGCATGGGCCATGCTCACCTGGACGTCCTCAGCGTCGCTCCAGAGCCGCTCCGCGGCCTCCTGCAGCCTGGTGCACTGCTCCCGCAGCTGCCCCACTTGGTCCAGCACGTCCTTGCGGAAATCCAGTGCCTGGGGAGGACAAAATGTGATGCCTGGAGAGGGCCATGGCCACCGTTAAGTGCCTGGGCAAAGCAGGATGCTGCTGGGGACGTGGGCTTGCAGACATCTCCAGCAAGGGGCTAGCAGGGGGACCCCAGGATGACATGGCAGCGTGGCCTACAGCGAGCAGGGTGCCATGGCTGCGGCCTCAAGGCCTGCCAGCAGCTCCCACCGAAACCTGGCAGGCCGGGCACCTTCTCTCCTTCGTCCTCCAGGTGCTTTATCTCACTCTGCACCTTCTCCAGTTTGGCAGCTATGTCGTCCAAGGTGCCGAGGTTGGCTGAAAAAGGACAGCAAAGCTTTGTTCCTGGGCTGCTGCCACCGATGCTGCAGGCTCCAGGCATGGCACCATCCCCAACCCAGGTGGCTCCACAGCTGTGGAGGCCTCCTAGCCCTGTCACCAGCCCCAGTGGGCACGGCCAGGCCAAGGGCACCTGTGGGTGCTGGGGGAGAGCCACAGGAGGCAGGGGGCTGCAATCCCTGCTAGATGTGTCCTTGGAGTCCCAGCTGGGACGGTTGAGCCTGTCCTGCGCTGTGCCC